ATCTTTTCTACTTACTTTACTTATTTAAACATAATGTATTTGCTTATACTTTAAAGTTAGACATTATTTACATTATCAAAATTAAGAATTAAATTCTATATAATGTTTTAGATTTTGATTGAACTCAATAAATTATTAGTTCAACTATTTTTAATTATGTTATATCATAATACAAGTTCGGTCCAGATATCGGATATTGAAATCTCACATATATTAGAATTCAAAGTGAAAGTTATATATTCATATACATGTCATTCAAATGAATATATCCAAAAAAAATATTTTAAATATTAGCTCAAAAATATTAATATTATCTAAACTAAATTTTAAGTGAAAACTGAAAAATTAGAAAACAGAGAACAATTTTCTGAATATAATTCTTATATTTGAAAGTTATGAGTAAGTGGATCGGAATATAATTCTTATATTTGAAAGTTATGAGTTTAGTTCTTACTCATCGTGAAAGTAGCTAGTCATATCAATTTCAGATGGTTTTATTGGGATAGGGTCCCCCATAAACCGGGTACAGAACAGGGGTAGGGCGTTAGGCCCAAATAATGCGTACAAAAGCCCGAGGTACAGGTCTAGAATGACGGCCCAAATACAAGGAACAAGGCCCAGAGGATGGGCTATAGCTGACTACGCTACGGATAGGAATCGAACCCAAGTGACTGGATTGAGAATATGAGATCAAGACCACTAGACCGTAGTTCCTGTTGTGTCTGAGTTGCCATTTGCCAGGAGTCCAGGACCCATGTTTATAGCTTGCTCCCCCTCCCCCCCTTCAGACTTCCACGTGCCCCACGTTACTCAAATCCCACTCCCCCTTTTCCAGTATATCTCCCCGCACGTTCACCACACCTCCTCAACTCCCGCTCTCCTACGCACACCCCGCACACACGTGCACCCCCCACACCGTGCGGCGACCACCCCCGCAATGGGGGCGCCGAGCCCGCGCACGGCCGCATGCTGGGCGCGCCGGCCAGGCCAGCGGCGTGGCACCCCGCCCCCACGATGGGGCGCCGGGGCCGCGCGCTGGCAATGTCTTCGCCGGCCAGTCCGGCGGCGTGGCACCCCGCCCCCGCGATGGTGGCGCCGAGGCCACGCCCAGCCGCGGCACCCTGCCCCTGCGATGGGGGCGCTGGGACCACGCCCAGCCGCACGCTGGCCGCGCCATCGCCGCCTGGGGCCAACGTCCCAGTCGACGGTCCTGTCGGCCACGTCGCCGGCGGCTAGTGTCGGCCGGCCGGCCTGGCGACGTGGCACCTTACCCGGCCTAGAGAACCCCTCTACTCCTGGCCCAACAACGCAGCTTGTTTTGGTCCTCTGGCTCATACCCAACATCCACCTCAATCAGAATAAGCCTTTTGTTTTGCAAACAAAAATGAATAGCATTTATATGCAACAGTGATGAAAATTTTACTTTCTTAATTAAAACATGTATATTTTGTCTGACATTAATGGATATAACTATAGATTTACTATCTTGCTACTGTGAGTCTATGGCATTAAGATGATAATATTTTACTCTTTTAAACTTTAATTTTATGAGAGAAAAAATGTACATTATAATTCAAAATGTTAAATATAGAAGTAGACCATATTTCCCGTTAAACCCTTAAGAACCCTAAGAGAAATGGGCTCCAAACCCTTCTACCAAAGCCTCAGCCTAGTGATAAAGGTTTGTATGGCCATTAGAAGACATTTCTAATTACAAAAACACATGGACCAAATGGGAATTGAAGAAACAACTAGGTCTTAAAGCGAGTCTCGACACACAAGGATAGTTTACAAAGAAGGTGAAGCAGGAGGGGTAGCCACAATTTGACAAAAATACCCCATTGGTTTGAGAAAGAATATAAGACCAAAGAAAAAAAAAAATCATATCAAAAGACCAAATATAGTGCTTCTTCAACAAATTGTAAATACCCCACGGGTCAATTACTAGTATATTACTATATTATAATTCAAAAGTAAAAAGTATATATTTTATATACATGTTATTCAAATGATCAAATATATCCAAAAATATTTTAAATATTAACTAAAAAATATTAATATTATCTAAACTAAATTTTGGGTGAACTTAATATTGGTTATTGGTTCTGATATATTTTTAGTTATGTTATATATATATATATATATATATATATATATATATATTTGGTTCCGATATTAAATATAAAAAAAAAATACATATATTCGATATAAAAGTAAAAACTATATTTATTCTATTTAAATCAAATATATCTCAAAATATTTTTAATATAAAATCTAAAAACACTCAAAATTAAATTTGTGTTAATTTACGTTAATTTAAAAAAAAATGTTAATTTTACTAAACAGAAAATAAAGAATGAAAAAAATTAAAAAATAAAAACCAAAAAATAGTTTCCCTTAATAAACGGGTCTATAGCTTTTCAGGAAATTCCTATGTACCCATAACACAGGCATAATTCAACTGGGGATTGTCCTAAAATCCTCGTAGTTGACGTCAAACCTACAATTTTGACTCTTATATGGAAACACTTGACTTGCTTCGTACTTTACATTTTACCAAACATTCCTGCCTAACATTGTTTTCTATAAAATCCCTGTATCTAGACATTTCTCATTTATACTCTACCAAATGCTATAAGGAAAAAAAAAAAAAAAAAAAAAAAAAAAAAAAAAAGGAAAAAGAATTATATTATTATCACTTTGCCCCTATAATTTGAGTCAGTACTCCACAATTCATGGATTTAATTACATTTTTAGATAGAGTAAGTAAAAATCTACTAACTGATTTATCAATTAATATATCCTATTAAATAAATAATTACAGCTTCTTAATAAATAAGAGATTAAAGTAGTCATAAATAACAACATTAAAATATTTTACTAACTTCATAAATAGGGTTATTAACGAACCGAACATAAACGAACGGAGGTTGTACGTGTTCATTTGTTAAGGTTTTTGAAAATCCTGTTTGTGTTCGTTTGTTAAGCGTTCATTAGTGTTTGTTAACGTTCGCGAACATGTTCACAAACATGTTTGTTAACAAGCACGTTCACGAACATGTATTGTTTGCGTTCATAAACACGTTTTTGAATGCTTAATAACCAAACATATGAACATGTTCATGATCACAATTCGTTCGTGAACAATAAATAATTTATGTTCACGAAAAATAACCAAACACGTAACACAACTACAAAGAGAATACAAACAAATATTAAACGAACACAAACGAGCTTGTTCGCGAACATTATTAAACGAACACAAACGAGCTTGTTCACGATCTCTTAGCAAACGAGCTTACAACTGTTCAAACTTTGTTCGTTTATAAACCAAGCTCTAAATTTTGTTTGTTAATGTTCGTTTACCTTAATAAACGAACGCTTACCGAGCACGAACACGAGTAGTTTACTGAAAGTTCTGTTCGCTAACACCCCTATTCATAAATAAAGTTTGAACTCCAATCTCAATATTTTTTTTATTTAATTCGGTAAGAATGTAAAGTCTTAAAATTTATATTAAAAAGGAAAAAGTGTCAAATAGACCCTTGAACTTTATTCAAAAAGTCAATTCTACCCTTAAGTTTTCAAAAATTGCAATTAAACCCATGAATATAATATGTTATTTGGATGCATTGAAGCCCAAAAAACAGTTAGTAACCTGTAATTACAGGTTACCTAGGGTTCCGACGACTTTTCCTACACTTTCCGACAATAGTTGGTCTGCTTTCTCCAATCGTCAAGAAGGCGACCAACTGGTCTACCTTCTCCTTTGCCTGAGAAGACGACCAAGTGATTATTGCCGGAAAGTGTAGGAAAGGTCGCCGGAACCCTATGTAACCTATAATTATAGGTTACCAACCGGTTTCTGGAATTCAATACTTCCAAATAACATGTTTATAGGTTTAATTGCAACTTTTGAAAGTGACTTTTTGAGTAAAGTTCAATGTCTTATTTTATCCTTTTCCTTATAAAAAAAAAAAAAAACAAAAAACAAGTGTTCTAATATATAAGCATAAGGGGTACAATGTGAATATTTTCATATTATTGGGGTCTAGTGAAATTACTTCTAAATAATACTTTTAACAAAAAAATAAAAAGAGAGAAATTTATTAAAAAATTCCACCGTGCCATCAGACAACCAAACCACATTAGCATTCTCTGTATCTTTTCTTTGTTTATTCCAATATTTGCTGCTCTTTTGTTTTAAGAGGTTTTCTTTTAAATTCGAAAATTATTCTTAGCAATCCAGAATATATATTTGTATCATATGATCTATATTTAGTAGCCAAAAAAAAAAGAGAAAAAAAAAATTAATGATAAGTTATTTTGAGAGAAATATAATACTCTTTATAATTTAAATTATGGTCACGCTCGTGTATGACCGTCTCACGAATCCTTATTCGTGTGATGGATCATTCAATATAAAAACCTAATACTAATTCAGAAGAAACTGTTTGTTACTTTTGAGGATAACGTAATATTTTTACATTTTAATATAAAAGTATTTTTATCAAAATTATTCTATTTTCTTACCCCAAAAGGCTAAATTTTCAACCCTAAGAGGCCCCACACTCCGACCCGACAGAAGATGTGGAAAAATATTCTATTTTCTTTTTATAAGTAATGTTGGCAAGTATTTGTTATTTATAAGAAAAAATATAATGTTTTTAAATCAAAATGTAAAAATATTACATTTTATCATATAAGTAATAAATATTTTATTTATTATTAATATTACATTTTATAAGTATTGTATTTTATTTTGATCTGATTTTCTCATGGATATGAATTCGTAAAACATTCTCATACAATTTTTTGCCTTGCTTTTAACATTTTGAGTTATGGTTTTTTTTTTAAAACAACTATATAAAATATAAAAAACTATATATTTAAAATATTGTTTATATTAAAATTTTTAGTTTATTAAAATTAAAATAATAAATATAAGAAAACAAAGTGAGAAAAGACTAGTATATAAATCAAATTTCCAGATTTCCAAATCCATCACCGTCCTATTGCACGTCGTCGTTGTCGTCCTTCTCCTCCTCTTCCCCACCCCACCAGGCTTCACCTTCCTCTCTTGATCTCTCTGTGTAGTTTCTCTGCTGGGTCAAGACCTATATACACACAAGACGTACACGTAGATACGTATATACATATCGTTTGTCTTGTGTGTATATAGGCGCGGAAGGAAGAAGAAAGCAATGATGAGAAGTAGGCACAACGCTAAAGTTTCTGCGAAATGGATACCCCTTTTCTCCATTGCTTTCTTCTTCCTTGGTATGCTTTACACAAACAGGTCTGACCATAGCTCAATGGCTTCTATCTTCTTCTTCTTCTTCTTCTTTTTTTTAAAAAAAAATATTTTTTACCTGTTTTTTGGTTCAATTTCGGATTTGTTTTGGCTGCACAACTCTGATTGATTTTTGTCTTTTTGAATTTTGAATTTGTTTCGAGCTTTTGCGTTTTGATTGTGTTGTTGATGGATCTGCTTTTCGAACAGGATATGGGCCCCACCGGAATCCACCAATCAGCTCATTGCTCAGCACAGACGTGACCAAGAATTGCAAGTGATTTCTGAGGACTGCACGACTATGAAGGTATGTTTTGAATCTAGTTCTTATTTTTTGAATATTTTACTTTCTGAATTTTGAATTGAGTTTTAGATTCTTGTTTTTTTTTGTTTATTACTATCTTTTTGGAGTTGAAGTTGATAGTAGATTTTAGTTTTGTGTACATGCCTTAATATGAATCTTTCAATATTCTGTGTACTAGAAACCTGGGCAAGAAAAGGATGTGATGCAAGAGGTGTACAAAACCCACGAAGCAATTCAGTGAGTCTTGAATTCCTAGCAGTATATGCTTCCTCTTTTCTGACCTGCAATAAATGCTTGTGCTCTTATTTATTTATTTATTTATTTAAATGGCTGTTTCTTTTTCCTTTTTATTTTATTGTGGGTGTGAGTGGTGTTTAGATCTCTGGACAAGTCAATTTCAATGCTTCAGATGGAGTTAGCAGCTACTAGGAGTACTCAGGAGATGAAGAAATCTGATGGGTCTGATGAGTCTCCTCAATCAGAAGATGGGCCTCCAAGGAAGAAAGTATTTGTTGTTATTGGGATTAATACTGCTTTCAGTAGTAGGAAGAGGCGGGATTCTGTGAGAGAAACGTGGATGCCTCAAGGTATTAATTGCTTTTGATGGCCACGTTTTGTTATTTCACTTATTTCAATATGTTCAATACAGATCTTGGATATGGTCTTGCTTTGTTTTGAAAAAGTGTTGTTTCTGGTGGTCTGATTAGGGGAAAAGCTTCTCAAGTTGGAGCAAGAGAAGGGGATTGTTATCAGATTCACGATTGGGCATAGGTATTTTGCTTTTCTAAAATTTTTCACCATATGGCATGTGGTCAGTCTCTTCAGCAGTATATTGTATTTTTTGCAGTTAATTTGTTTAGGCAGGTTGCTGATGTCTAAATTGCAAAAAATTTAAAGGCTTTGAGCCTATACCTTTGCATTCTCTGTTAGTAAAGCTGTTCCACTTTGATTGTTATTCATCCCTGTACAAATCAGTAGAGTTTTATCATCAGTTCATCACATATATTTCCATTTATCTACAATTATTAAATATTAAATTGAAATAATTACTCCTATGATTTTCAAGGGGAAACCAAACTGAAACATTTAAACGTTACTGCACCACCTCACAATTGTTATTGAAGCTTCCTTGGCTTGGACAAAGAGTCAGATGACAGATCTGGTTCTTGTGCATTAAACAATAGCTGGAATAAAAGGGATAAATAATCAGTATCCCCAACTTTCTTGCACCTTTTTGTTCTTTGTCGGACTACAAACATTTCTCTTGAACTGTTCATCACCCTACTTGATAGAAAATTTCTTACATTATAATCCTGAACCATTAAATCTCTTGGGAAAACTATAGGGCTTACCAGGTCAACCTTCTTTGGTACCTTGCAAACATGAAATAATCTTTCTACTTTTCACCAAACAATTACCTTATCTGTCTTACAGTTCATTACTTCAAAATATTAGGGCTACTAGTCCTCTCTTTAAACCCTCCTGCCTCATAGCCTTATGGCCCCAACCTACAAGCTCCTTCGATTCCTAACTATCTTCCCCTAGTTAGTCTACCAGTTAACAGTGCTCCCTGTAGAATATTCAAGTCTGTTCAAATTGTTGTTCTACCTTTGCCAAGTCCAACATTTTCTGGCTTACCACTAGTGTACCTAGTGTCCCTAGTGTCATATTCCAATCTTGTACACATATCAAGAAGCAACTGGTCAATACTTCTCTTTGCCAATTCAAGCACTTTCAAGGCCTGAGATTTTACCTGTCACAAAAAATACTTGGTAAAGTGTTAATGTGCCATGAGGAAAAATGAATTTGATATCTTGCTATTGTCCTCCAGAAGTTTTCTGATTGAGTAACTCAACAGCTTCAGTTTCTGAAATTGATTTCATGTTTCAGTAAAGGCATAAAGTATTTGAAAATTACTGCAGTAATCAATTACAAGTCTATGGTTTTAAGCAGGGAATGCCAGTAAAATGCTCATTGTTTTTCATAAAATTTACCAAAGGGAATTCACTTCACATTCTTGATGATCTGTGCAAAGATATGGTTTTGCATTCTCTATCTCTGCCTCTCCCTTGTCCCCTTGTCAGTTTTATTATTGTATGAAAATGGTATGACTCATTCAACTAAATATTCAACTTATTGGGAATTTCTGATTTGCATTCTAAATTATATTCTCAATGGGGTCTTAGATGGATGTGAAGGAATTGACAAAGTATCTATTTTGATGAACACAGTGCAACATCTAATAGCATTCTGGACCGTGCTATTGATTCTGAAGAAGCTCAACATAAAGACTTTCTCAGGCTGGTAAATTGCATACCAAATGGATGTTGCTTATGGAAGATTATATTTTTGGAATAATTACAAATTTGCATGCCAATGCACAAAATATTTCAGGAGCACGTTGAGGGATATCACGAACTTTCTGCAAAAACCAAGATATTCTTTTCTACTGCTGTTGCAAAGTGGGATGCCGATTTCTATGTCAAGGTTGATGATGATGTCCATGTCAATTTGGGTACACACATTACACTGCTTATATATTTTAATTCTGTACAGTCCTATGATTTGGCATAATGGAAATATAGGTTGTATCTTATTGGGTGATTCTTACAGGTATGCTCGCTGCAACTCTTGGCCGCCACCGGTCGAAGCCCAGAGTTTACATTGGGTGTATGAAATCTGGACCTGTTCTTTCCCAAAAGTAATTTGGCGTTTTTCTTTCACTTCGTAATGTTCTTTAACTTCTTTTCCTGTAATTCATTCAGGATATATATATTAACTTTGATTATCTTCGTCAGGAATGTCAAATACCATGAACCAGAGTCTTGGAAATTTGGAGAAGAAGGGAACAAATACTTTCGACATGCTACTGGGCAAATTTATGCCATTTCAAAGGATTTAGCTACATACATTTCAATCAACCAGTGAGCTTTTCATTTCATTAATTTTTTTAAAGATCCAAATTGATGGCTGGATTCTTTAAACATATAATTAAATTTCTCAAAATGGCTATTGGAGCAAAAATTTTCATCTGATTGTCATTACGTCTTAAATATATGTTTAAAACTTGAAAGCTTGCCAAACAATATGATACCAGAATTCTTGAATAAGTTGTTTCTGTGGTTTGCTTGAATATTCTTGTAAATTTTAAGCTTTTATAACTGCGAGTGTAGGCCAATCTTGCACAAGTATGCTAATGAAGATGTTTCCCTGGGTGCTTGGTTCATTGGTCTTGAAGTTGACCATATTGATGAACGAACCATGTGTTGTGGAACTCCACCAGGTATTTCTCTTATACTGACATTTAACATTAGTAAAAGTTGCATTCAATTGAAGACTTGAATTGTTTTGCTCAAATGTGGAATGTAGAGTGATTTCAAATTAGAAGGCATGAAACCCAAACCTGAAGAATCAAGAATGTGTAATTGCAATACCGATGAATCTTATTGGAATTTTTCAAATGAAGTTTCTGCAAAATTCACCCTTTAGTATTATTCTCTTACCAACCAAACAAATGATCACCATTTGGATCATATAACCCGGGGGGTGTGGTTGAGTGGAAAGAGACTCCATCCATCCTTAACCAAAGGTCAAGGGTTCGATCCTTGGCTTTGGGTATGGAGCAGCTTTAAATCTCCAGGCCAGCTATCCCACCCAATAGAGGTGCCTACAATTCAGCGAGGGGATTAGCCACTGTGTCCGACGGTGGAAACCTTGGGCTACATCCAAAAAAAAAAAAAAAAAAAACCATTTGGATCATATCCACTATGAAAACTCCGCATGGTGCTGATTGGCAATGAGCAGCACTCTTTTGGCAGATTATATTTACTCAGAACAAAATTCTTGTTTTTTTTTTTTTTTTTTTTTTTTTTTTTTAAAGCATTGGCTAGCAGAGAGAGAGAGAGAGAGAGAGGGAGCAACCACCCTTACAGAAATCACAAACTCACCTCCACAGCCTCATTCTTTTCTTCTGACCTTTCTTTATGTCCTCCCTTTATTATGGCTGGATTTATATACCCTTTTTGCTGGTTCATTGCAGACTGTGAGTGGAAGGCCCAGGCAGGCAATGTATGTGTAGCTTCCTTCGACTGGAGCTGCAGTGGAATTTGCAAATCAGTAGAGAAGATAAAGTTTGTGCATGAAAAGTGTGGCGAGGGTGAAGAAACTCTCTGGAATGCCCTATTCTAGACTTCTAGTTCAACAAGGGATTTCTGGCAAGCTAAGAAGCTGTAATTCAAGGTCAGGCCTTTGGGGGCATATATAGATCACAGCATGCAATGTATGATGTAAGAATTATAGCTGTTGACTAACCTTTATTACCAGAAAGGGAGAGATCAAGATTTGGGTGTAGATATTAGATCTGTTGTTGCCTAGATGTGGGTTTGGGGAAGGGGAGGATAAAGCTTATAGCTTTGTGAAGGGAGACATTCAAATATTGAGTTATTCAAATATGTTGGGTTTATTGAGTATTTGTAAGTGCAGTGGTATTTTTTCTGGTTCCACGTTTGACAATAAAAATTCTATGATGAAATGACCCTCTGTAGCAACTAGGGGTGGGAATAGGCCAGGCCCCTTGTAGGGGCCTATGTTCTGGCCTAATTAAAGCCTAGTTAGGCCTAGCTCGTTTAGTAAAAATGTCAGGCTTGAGTCAATTTCAAAGCCTATTAAACTAAACAGGCCAGGCCTATATATACCAGGCTCGGCCTTCAGGCCTATAGGCCTGGCCTATATATATATATATATATATATATATATATATATATATATATATATTTACCCCAAGTATAGTTACATATATAACCCCAAGTATATATAATTACCAAACCTTAACCCTCTACCTCCAAAATCTCATTCTAAATTATGATTCAACTATAAACATTGCTGTTAATCCTGCTATAAGTGTTCTTATTGTGTAATTTTTTTATTAACTGTCCTTACTATCATAATATTTAATGAAATGTCGCAACTTAATTATGTGGGTTGATTGTTAATTATTTATGATATTATATAGGATAACAAACAATAATACAATTGAATTTATTTCTAAACAAGTTAATGAGCATGTTGAAGTCGTGACTTGTTTTATTTTATTTTATATTTATTTGCTATTATGTTTGCATTGTAATGATATACTTATGTAATTATGTATTAGTTTTGTATTAGATACATTTCTTATATTATTTAGATATACTAAAGTTTTTAAAAAGTCTTAACAAATAAGCTTTAATAGGCTCAAGGTAGGACTTACTTTAAGCATTTTTAATGACCTAAATATTAAACAGGCTTTTAAAAAGGCTTCAGACCAGGCCAGGCTAATTGCAGGTTCAGGCTTGAGCCTAACAAAAAGCCTACATACAGGCTCAGGCCCAGGCCTAGGCTTTAGATTTTCATAACAGGCCCAGGCCTAATTTTCCAAAGCTCGGCTCGGCTCGGCCTATTTCCACCCCTAGTAGCAACTGAGTCTGTGTAGAAGACTTGAATATTTTGAGTTTAATTTTTCAAAGTTGGATAGTATTTGTTAGTGCAGTGCTGATGCTTTTTAAAGCCATAATATATATATAGGGCATATTTCCCGTGTGGTCAGGCATTAACGTACGGTCCGTGCGGACGCACCATTAGTTAGCAAACATGTACCAATAGTGTTAAAAATTACACAATAAAAAATGCACCAAAAAACGCACCATTAGGTACGCATCACCATAAAACGCATCATTATGCACGTATTCAAAAACGCACAATTAAGTGTGGGGAGGTATGGTGCATTTTTTGAGTGTGTGATGCGTTTTGTGGTGTATTGGTGCATTTTATTATTGTGCATGTATTTTTTTTAAAACATATTGGTGCGTTTTTACATAACTAATGATGCGTCTGCACCGACCACACGTTAAGACATGGTGTGTGTGTGTGTGTGTGTGTGTGTGTGTGTATGTATATGTATATTTATATTATACATTATACATTATTGACTTGTTGTTTAAATTTTGAAATTTAAATTATTAGTGAAAATAAATAAATAATTATGTGTACAATAAATTGACAGAAACCTCTGAGCTTGGTGCGGCGCCAATAGTGACGCTTAGCGAATAGTACTGTCGGTGCGCATGCGGATCCAAATAGGGGATTGGCCTGTTCTGCCTCCACTTCTTCTCTAGCTTCTTCATGCTTGAAAACTCTCCGATTAGGGCTATGAGGAGTGGCGGAAACAGAAGAGCACCGGAGAAATGAAAAAGAAGCGAGAAAGAAGAAAGAAAAAGGAATGTGAAATGAAGAGAGAAAAAAGAGGCGGGCTATCTAGGTGATTTTTTAAAAATAAAATCACTTTGAAAACTCATATATTTTTTTTTTAAAAATTATTTTTCTTTCCGTGACACCTCCAGGTGGCGCTAGAGGTGGCCACGAGCCGGTTCATAACCGAACCAGTCCTGAATCGGCTCGGAATAAGTTGGACCTGGGTTTCACCGAGCTTAATTTGGGCCTAGCCCGGACCAGGACCGACTAGTAAAAGGCCGGTTCAGATCCTATTAAAAAAAAGCCCGGGGCTTAGCTCGAATCGGTCCAGGATCGCGTCCAGGCACATATTAGGCCCGGACGCTGGCCCGGACTTTGGCACGGATGAGTTTGAATTGATAAATAAAGTGTTTTTAATTTTTTTTTAGATAATGCTTCTTTCAATACAAGATCTATAGAGCATTAATTGAAACCTTACATTTACTTGTTAATGGTCAATTATTATACTCATGTTCTAAATTTATGTGTTTGATAAGGACATCAAATTGATCATAGTTTGAGTAATTTTGTTGAACTAATTAGAAAATTTACTAAATGACTTAGATATAATAGAAAAAAATTAATTTTAAAATAGTGTGTGTACATGGTTTAAATACACCCACTCATTGAAATTTTATATGTAAATTTTTATGTGAAAATTGCTCTATATCATGAGGAAATAACTTCTTTGTATAATAATAATCAAACAAGTGACGCTAGCATAATTACAACTATGTGAGTTTTGATTCCTCTAAATTATTGATAATGATACGTATGAATCTTAATTGAATATATATATATATATATATATATATATATATATATATATATACATACATACATACATACATACATACATACATACATACATACATACATACATACATACATACATACATACATATATATATATATATATATATATATATATATATATATATATATATATATATATTAGCATTATTGAATGAAGTGCCATCAATTAGATATAACATTGGTTTTTAACGATAATGTTAATAAGTCAAATCTTTCTCCTTTTTTTTTTTAAAAAAATTAATTATTTTATATAAAAAAAATAATAATAAAAATTCCGGGCCTAGCCCATGATCGGCCCACGAGAGGCACGAGCCCAGGCCCGGGGTAAGCCCGACACGGGACCGACCCAAGTAATTCAGGGCCGGTCCCAGTCCGTGCTAGTCTAGGCCCAGGATCGGCCCGGAATCGGCCTAGGTCCGGACTTTGGCCACCTCTAGGTGGTGGGTGTCGCGGAAAGTATGCTTATTTTTTAAAAATTTATTTCACTTTCCGCGACATCTCTAGGTGGCGGGTGTCACAAAGAGTGTGTATATTATTTTAGTTATTTTAAAAAATTTTGAGGACTTACTGCAACACCCCTAGATGGCGGGTGTTGCAAAAAGTAATCCCGTTATTTAAAGAAATCGCTACACCTTGTAGACACAAGTGTAGCATTTTTTAAAGTATTTAATTTATTTTACACTTTTGTCACTACACACTTTTTTTTTTAACGTTACATTACACTTTTATTGAAAAAAATGTAATGTAAAGTCACACTTATATATTCATTTTTGTACTAGTGCGACTGAAAGAAAGTGCTTCTGATCTGAAGGAAGCATCTAGAAGGAGAATAGCCTAGAAGAAGATATGTGGAATCTTAATGGAGGAATAAATTAAGGGCATTTAAGACTATCTTCCACGTTCATAGGAGTTTTATTGAAGACCTTTTAAGGATGGTATCCTCAGAAGAAGTTTATATGAGGAAGAACAAAAAGAACTATTAGACCGATGCAATTTGTTTGACATCTAGAAGTCTACATGCAAGACAAATTGGTCATAAACAGGAGCAGTTCGTTTTTACCTTGGTGTGCTTATACACTGATAGGGAAGCAATCACTACCCTATAGATTTCAAGTAGCACAAGTTCATAGATAAGGCGGCAACAAATTGCGAATTGTGACCGCTTTTGGACGGCTATGACTAGCTGAGTGACAACAGTCAAATTCAAATTTCAAAGTTGGTGCTCACCCCTCATCTATAAAAGGAAAACCCAAGCTTAGAAGAAGTGTTGGATCCGTTGTTGAAAGTTAATTGAGAGAATACATTTTATGCCTACATCAACTCTTCTAAACTAATAATAAGGAATCACTTTGATTCTATCAAATCCAACACTCAGCCTACAACTATTTTTCTATTTGAAGGAAGTTGGAGGGTCAACCTAGCAAGTCAATTTGGTGATTATCCCGGTTTTATCTAGTTTTGATCAGGCAGTGATAAAGACAATGCAACCTTTTGATTAACCCTTGTCTCAAGAACTATCAATCGATAGATGTTGAAGGCTTCATTCCGCTTTGTATCTGTGTAACCAAATACTTACAGCACGTTTGGTTCACGGAATGAATTTTGAGGTAATAGGAATGCTATTCCATAAGGAATGGAATAGGCAAGGAATAGAATAGAAATTGTATTCTATTGTTTAGTTCGCGGAAGGAATAGACTTTAGGAATTATATTACAGTGTTTGGTTGATTTAAGGAATAGAAATGAAATATGTTTTAAAAGACATAAATACCCTTATAAAAATATGTGATGTTGGCGATGGTGGTGGCGGTGGTGGCGGTGGCGGTGGTGGTGATGGTGGTTGTGATCGTGGCAATGGTGGGGGGCGACGGTGGTGGTGGTGACGGTGACGGTTGTGGTAGTGGTGGTGGGGGCGGCGACGGTTGTGGCGGTGGTGGTGGTGGTGGTTCTGGTGGCGGCGGCGATGGTGGTGCTGGGGTGGTAGTGGTGGCGGCGGCGGCGATGGTAGTGGCGGTGGTGGTGGCGATGGTGGTGCTGGGGTGGTAGTGGTAGTGGTAGTGGTAGCGGTGGCAGTGGTGGGGGCGGCGGCGGTTGTGGCGATGGTGGTGGTGGCGGTGGCGACGGCGGCGGTGATGGTGGTGGTGGCAACGACGGTGGTGAAATAGGATAAATTTATATATATGATTAAAAAAAATTAGGTTAAAGAAAGGGGTAAAAAAGGAAATAGATTCTAAAATCTATTCCTGAGCGTTCAGTAATAGGCTAATACCAGGGGGGCCCTAGTAATAGCTATTACCTCATTTGAGGTAATAGGCTATTACCAGGAATATTATTCCTGGTAATAGAAATGGTTACCAAACAAAGGAATAGGCCTATTACTGGGAATGCTATGTCATTCCCAGCCTATTCCGTGAACCA